TGTGTTTATAACGCTCAACATTCTTTAGATAACATAAGACGGAAACATGTTACACTGAACACAGAGAGTCACACCAGAGATCTGATTCCCTGTCTGACTGGGCCCAACCCAACCAGCCGAGTCCGGGCTGGCCTGGAATTTTCTTATTATTTATCCAGGCTTGAAACAGGACGGGTTCTGGCCAGGGTACCTGTTTTTTGTTTGCTACTTGTTGGCTGCAACAAGGGGAAGAAAAGTGACGCAACAACGGAGCAATATAGTGGAGAACAGGCAAGGCAACTTGGTTGGCAGTGTTTGCTTCTGCCTCCCCAGCAGTGGGAGCCCACTCTGCCAAACCTGTCATGCACAAGATGACAGACACTTAAAATAACAGAAGGAAGAGAAGGAAGTGGTGCAACAAAACACATTAGCCCTCAGCTTGTAATAAATGTTTTAATATTTGAAAATAGTTAACATGTAAAATACAATGTATTGTTACAGCAGAAATTCAGGTCTTTAATCGAGCTCAGGCCCGAAATGGCTGCCTTGGTTCAGGCTTAGGTCAAATTGTGCAGGTTCATGTTGGGTCAGGCCTGATCTTTGGGGTCAGATCAGTGCTCCAAATCACACACTCAAAATTTGAAAGAGGATAACAGTAAATGAAATTTAAAAAATACTTTAAGATGTCATGTGGAGCTTTTCCGATTTTGATGCACGAGCAAACTTCTCTTCTTGAAGCTCACATACACAAGCTGTGCCCGTGTTGAGCAAAATTTATACATCTGTGCTGCATCAATGCAGTACCTCTGTGTAGCTGTATACACTATACACTACACTGTAGACTGCGCTGTAGCCGGATGTGCGTCGCCCCATAACACCCTCATAATGCATGATATGGTCTTCATAGAAAGTGTTACCAAATTGATAAATTCATTGAGAAGAAATCAGAATCAAACTATAAACTGGATGCATACCTACCGGCCACAAGCTTGAGCTAGACATGCTGAATGTGGCCTCCAACCAACCTGGAAAGGAAGAACTTCAGACAAAGTCTATTTCACGTCTGGGTTCTGATCTGACAAAGACTGAAGAACTCTGAATCCTTCAATGCTAGATCTCTCTCCTACTGCTTTGGCTCCTCTGCCTGCAGCTCCTGCCTTGATCCTTTGTCAACATGTTTTGGGAGACAAATACATATTGAAGTGCAATCAGTCATACTAGCTGACACAGTTTCAATTGGACTGACTGAACATTTTATT